CGTTGAAGGACTCATTTGTTTTGGGGCAATGAGTTATTCTTCTCAAAATCACTGATCAAGGTGTGACTGGCAAGGGTTCGGGCTGTGTTCAAATGACGTTTGTTAACATCCACTCTTTCAATTATAGTGAAATCCCAGAAAAATGTCCGTTATTAGTTCCTGGAATAGGGTCACTCAGTTTGAAATGAACTGTGCCTGTTGCTGCACCCCACATGTAAGCATTGCAGAGGGGTGGATGAAAGATCCCAACTCAGGGCTTTGTACTGCTACTCCTTCCCACGAGGGCAGCCAGTCGTGAAGCCAGCAAACGCGGTGCATGTGAAGACGGCTGCCTCAGCGCCCAGTCACTAAAGTCAAGGCCTCCCTCATACTGGATGCCAGACACCATAGGAAATACTTTTTTCCATGCTTTGGAGATGCAGCATTAGGCTCTATTTCAGAGATAAACTGAGGTGACCTGTCAAGTCCCAACAAGTAGACGGGGCAAGGGAAGAAATAACACTGGGTGAGTCCCAGAGTCTGGCTTTCTAACTTCGTGGCTGTGACACACTGCCTACTGTTTGTATAACTGAGTTAAGAGTTCAGAACTCAGGAAATCTCCTGCTGGAAGCTACAGCAGTGCCTAGGCACGCTATCAGGACCACTGAGCTCCACCAGGGGAAATGAAAGAAACTGGGAAAGCTGCTTGAGGCGAAAGGCACCCTCCCCCATTCCCACTTTCTATTTTTGGCTACTGGAGGACGTGTGTCGCGGGGGAGTTCCACTGCTCAAGCCAGGCCAGTGGGGGTCTCACTATGTAACTCAGCAGGACTTGAACTCATGATCCGTCTGGGGAGGGGGAGAGTCAGAATTACAGGAATGTGTTCTCTAATCTTCTCCATCTAGGTAGTGATTGGTTTCTGTAGCTCAGCGAACCGCCTTTGTTAGGCGTGCCTATTCCTGTCACCTATGAGTAAATCTGTACTTCTTCAAGAGAGCTAAATGGCTACAGGGATTTCACTGTGCACAAGGAGGGTGTTACGGCAGCTCACGCTCAGAGGGCTGGCATCTGCCACCTTTCTAATTAATTTTCACATTCTATTTATTCTCTTACACTTCCGGTTGTGAGCCTAGCCTTTAACGGCTGCGCCGTCTCTCCAGACCTATTCTCTCGTCTTTACACACAAACGCCACTTAGTTGGCAGTTGTTAGTGCTCCTCGATGCTAACAGTGAACGGACTGACCACGGTGGAATCTGAAAGAGGGAAGTGGCTAGCAGTGCAGAAGCTCTGAGCAGCTAGCAACTGACCAGAGGCCGTAGTCACCTTTGGAAGCTGCACTACTGAGAAGAAAGGAATCATGACAGTCACTGTCATGATTAGTTAGGGTTTCCACTGCTGTGAAGAGGCACCATGAACACAGCCACTCTTACAAAGGAGAGCACTGATCTGAACTGGGGCTGACTCACCTTTCACAGGTTTAGTCTTCACAGCAGGAGGCTCGGGGGGCATGCAAGTGCAAAACGGATGTGGAGAAAGAACCCAGAGTTTTACATCTGGATAGGCAGGCAGCAAGGGGAGAGAGAGAGAGAGTAACACTGGGCCTGGCTTGAACACTTGGATGCCTCGAAGCCCACCCCCAGTGACAGTCTTCCTCCAGCAAGGCCACCCTTTCTCCCCTATAAATGCCATGTCCTATGAGCCTGTGGCGGCCACTTCCATTCGAACCACCAGTCACCGCGGGCAGAAATGAAATAAAGCCTTTGTCTTTTTTATTAATGATTTAGGTGAGGAATATCTTGGATGACATTTTGGAGAGACTTCCAGAGGAGTTCAACATGGCGGAGATAACACAAAAGAACCTGAATCGAAGCCCATACGCTCTTGTTTGCTTCCAAGAGTGTGAGAGGATGAATGTCCTCATCCGGGAAATCCGTGTTTCGCTTCAACAATTAGACCTTGGTTTGAAGGTAAACTTACAAATGGTGCAAGACGGGGCTCTGCCACAGCGGAAGGGTACTCATGGTGGCCTTTCCTCTCTGTGCAAGGGAGAGCTGACATTCTCTCCAGATGTGGAAGCCCAGCTGTGTGCCCTGAGTTACGACCGTGTTCCAGACACTTGGAATAAACTGGCGTATCCATCTACCTACGGTCTGGCCCAGTGGTAAGTGACCTTCTCTACTGCTGCCACTGGTGGCTGCAAACATCAGCACAGGGTCAGCTCCCCAAAAGTCCTGCGAAAACTTTCGCTCCATGACCCTTACTAGGCAGACTCTACCACTAACTTCACACAAGGTTCTCTAGTATTTTGCATCAAAAGCAAGTCAGCTTAGTTAGGCCAGACCAGGATTCAAATTCTCTCACTTACTAGGTAACTGCCCTTTGACAAAATATCTAATATCCTGGTCTTCATATTTTCATCTAAAACAAACAAAAAAAACCAAAAACAACAACAACAAAAAAAAAAAACCAGAATTTCCTCATTTACTTAAAAGTCATAGAAGCAACTTGAGTTTGCCTGTTGGCATTTTATCCTCATTATTTCTAAACCAGTAATTACTAATGCAATCATAGAGGACTTTAGAATGTACTATGGTATATAAAAGCTAGACTGCTTTCACGGAGAGGGGTGGGGCGCCATTGCTGGTGTAGAACCTGGGATTGTTGAAGGCTGTTATGTCTCATCCCAGATGTTCTGAGGCCTTGTGACATTATTCAGAGAGCAGCACAGGACTCTATAATCTGTTCCTTTTTCAGAGTCAAGTTCCTATGTATATTAATGATACGTTCCATCTTTTTGTCATTATCTTACTTTGGGCTTGCTAATTTCTGTATTTTATTTTTCCTAGCTTGTCTGTGACCATTTCTAAATTCGTTGGTTTCGTAGTTTTCTTCATCGTGCATTTTACCTCCATACTGCTTGTACTTAGAGAGGGTCCTTTACCCAACCTAAAATCAACACTTTCCAGAGACTTCTTTCTCTTGTTGACCATTGTTTATCAGAACGGTTTTCTTTTTTGAATCCCTCCCCACTCCATACACATGTAATAAAAGTAACAGGGCATCAGATCCCTTGGCACTGGAGTTACAAAGCTCTGAACCATCATGTATATACACTAGGAATTTAAGTTGGGTCCTCTGAAAGAGCAGCTAGTGCTTTTAATTGCTGAACTCTCTCCAGGATTCTCCCATCATGCCATCATAGCTTTTCTTTTCACACCCACACCCCCCCCCAATCTGAGTGTGTTTTCCTTAGAAGCATTTACCTTCCCCTTTCAAGTAATTATTCTGTGTAGAACAGTCTCCTACTCCTCTTCCCTTTGACTATACCTTCCCCGGCAACTCTGGTATCTTAACAGTAACGGGGACAGGGGACACCACACACAAACTCTCTCCTCTGCATTTCTACAGCACCCTACACAACGTTGGTATTTGCCAATTCTGTTCAAATGCTTTTTTGTGTGTGCCACCATTATGTATCACTAGAAGAATCTAATAGCTGGGTACAGAGACGCTGCCCAGTGTTTCCTACTCCTAACGGTGACAGGAACTAGAGCTGCAGGTATAAAGTCTCAACAAGAAGAAGTCAGATCTGTGCAAGCACACCACCTTGTCAATCATTTGAAAAGGCTTGCTTCCCACCTTCTGTTAACCAGGTTTAATGACCTCCTCTTGCGATGCCGAGAACTTGATACGTGGACACAAGACCTCGTTCTCCCGGCTGTTGTGTGGCTTTCCGGCTTCTTCAACCCCCAGTCCTTCTTGACAGGTATGACTAGAGAGGCAAGGTAGCAAAGGGAGCCCCAGGCACAGCCACAGTGGTGTGTCCTAGTGAAAAGCCAGCCAGGCGACACTGTCATGCTGAAGACACACGGGCAACACAGAAGCAAACTGATTGATGTTCTGGAATATTCTAGTTTGTGACCTCAGAGGCAAATTGGTCCTGCACGTCTGTCCAGCTGCTCTCTAATCTGCAATGCCCCCAGCACACTGTCGGCTCTTGGGAGCCTATAAACAGGTTTTGTTTTTACCCTCAATTCTTTTCCTCCCAAAGCAATCATGCAGACCATGGCTCGGAAAAATGAGTGGCCACTGGACAGAATGTGCCTGACTATTGATGTTACCAAAAAAACAAAGGAAGATTACGGTCACCCCCCAAGAGAAGGCGCATACCTCCATGGGCTCCACCTGGAAGGTAAGTCCACTAAGGGGTGCGTGCGGAACTGTCTTACTTACAAGCTGGTCCCTCTCTACTTACAAGCTGGTCCCTCTCTACTTGGTGAGATGGGAACCTGTGTTGATAATTATTTCTTACTCTTCCATTCGCACAATTTAAATATCTGGGTGTGTGCCTGACCTGTGCCACTCAGGGTGATGACTGCTATTTAAACTGCACCTAAATCAGATGGTGTTTAAAAAAAAAAAAAAAGCTTAAGTCCTGCATGTAATTCATAGTAACCTGCTTTTTCTCACCACCAATTCAAACCGCATCCTGTGCTTTTATTGTTTGTAGAGGTCAAAGAATAACTTTCAGAAGTTAGGTTGGTCTCTTCATTTGTTAAAGGCAGGATGTTTTTCTACACTCCAGGACAGCTAGCCAGCAAGACTGAGTCTCCTGCGTCCACCTCCCATGTTTGATATAGGAATGCTGGCATTACAGATGTGCATTTCCACATCTGGCTTCCGCTATGGGCTCTAGGGACCAACTCAGGTGATAGGGTTGCCAAAACCTTACCTTTTACCCACAGAGCCATCTTGCTGGCCCGTCCTCTACACACCCAGCTGTCTCTAAGCCCTTGGAGATGCTGTGTTGCTCGATTTGTGCATTTATGCCGCAGGACGCCACACACAGTTCAGATATTTCAAGGCTAAACTTCCAAGCTAGTTAAATGCGGTGGGAAAAGAAAGTTACAAACTTACAAACAAAAGTTGTGCTGCAAAGGGCTTGCATTTGCGAAAATTCCGTCTTACGCTTGGTGATTATTATATAAGGACGGACGCCACAGATAGGTGATAACGAGATAAAAAGCAGGAACATTTATTGCATCAAACAATTAAGAGCACTGGTACCTACACGCCCTAGTTACACAACTGTTGTCTCTGCCCCAGGTGCCAGGTGGGACATCCAGTCAGGAGCCCTTGTTGACGCCCGCCTTAAGGAGTTAACATCCACGATGCCTGTCATCTTTGCCAAAGCCGTAACCGTGGACAGACAGGAAACCAAGCACACCTATGAGTGCCCCGTTTACAAAACCAAAGCTAGAGGCCTCACCTACGTGTGGACTTTCCGGCTGAAGAGCAAAGAAAAGATAGCTAAGTGGGTGCTGGCAGGCGTGGCTCTACTGCTAGAGGCATAAACGGCCTGGGTACTGCAACTTAAATTCTTCAGCCAGGACAGTGAGCATGTCTTAGTAACGGGGGTGAAGGGGGAATAGCAGTATATTAAACAAAAACAACAAAACACAACACTAAAAACATCTACCTGGGATATACTTGTTGCTTTTTAACTTCCTCCACCATGGCTTATCTCCCCTAAGTCTCAAAAACAATGTAGTAAGGGTTCTATTAAAAAAACATAGAAGCAGCAGGCTCCAGGCAGACCCTGAAGGTAGAGGCAAGCATGCCGAGGCCTCCAGTGTCCATAACTTGGTCCGTTTTTGTTTTTTTTTTTTTTGTTTTTTTTTGTTTTTTTTAAACAATAAAAGGACACTGTACTCAGTGTGTGGTTAATTGCACTTGATCGTTTAGAGGAACATTCTTCAATATAGATTTCTAATGACCCAGAACTCAGTATCTAGAGCCAAATAAACCATCAGGTTTGAGCTCTGGTTACTCAGGAGGCAGAGAAGTGGCTGCAGGGACTGTGGGGGGGGAGCCTGAGCGTCCGCTGTGTAACTTACCTGAGCTTTTAACTCTGCCCCATTTAAATTGTGCTTTTACGTCTTCAGCAGATATTTGTATATTACAGGTCTGCGTACAGACTTCTCTGCTTTACTAGTTTTCCTGAGAAATATTTTTAAGGATATAAACTTAAAAAAACAATAAATTCCAGGAAACAAGCTTCTGTGAAGTTCAGTTCTAAGGCTAGGCACAAATGGCAGACATCTCTGTAGCAGGACTCTGGTACATTCGAGCGTTCCTTTTCCTGGCAGTGGGCTTCTACAGCTGCTTTTGTAAGCTGGGCAAAAGATGGAGAAGTTTTTGTAAGCAGCTGACCAGAAGCAAGCATGAAGCAGCATCCTAGGTTACAGTGGACCAGAATACCCAGGGGTATACACTGAGACACGGCTCTATTGCCCAGAGTACAGAACGCACAGCGTGTCTCAGCTGCACATGTCCAACTCCGTGCTCCTCAGGCTGTGGAGACCAGTGTTGTTTTACGATAGTTATCATGTAATTTGTTTTGCTCCACAGGTGGAAATAGTTTGAGCACTGTGGAGTTGAGGAATGGATTCTTGAGGCCTAGGCCTCTCCAGTACGAATGGATGGAACTCAAGGGGGTTTCTACAAATTAGCCGAGGAGAAAACCAGGGTCTCCTGCACACCTGTGCCTTGCTGGAGACTTACCTCTCCAGGTACTCCTTGACATTATCATAACCGTAAAACTTGGCCAAGTGAATGAGAATTCCAGTGGCACAGCGGCCATCTCGCTTCCGGCAATAACTGCAATTGCAAATCCCACGGCAGGGAGGACATGTCCACTCCTAGGGAGCAGTAGAGAGAGATTGTTCCTTTTAAATCCACATTCTATCCTCCAGCCACTAACACATGGTGTCCCCTCAGGCATAGTGTAGGAGGGGCTACACAAGGACCCCCCGGTAAGAATGACTCTGTGTCAGAGAAACAAGGAGACATCTGTTCTAGACATGACCAGATGGTTACCACTGCGGGGGGGAGCTATTACAAAGAAAATTTAGGTGTCTTTATGTTCGGGGGTCCTATGTGATTCACAGGTCACACACGTTTGGCACAAGAACCAGGTAAGAATTCTAGCTCTCCTGATAGATATACCCCATGACTACTGCAGAAGAGGCCAACACAGACCCCCAAAGTGGCAATGATCAGGTTCAAGGCAGCGCTTACAAGCCTTGATAGTCTGGAAAGGACATTTCGTTTCTCCTAGGGATCTGAAGCATAGACAGGATAAACACCCACCTCAGGAGGTAAAATGGGGCTGGGGCGAAGAGCTCAGTCCATGGGGAGGGCCTGAATGCCATCTCTATACTCACACACAAAGGACCTGCCCAGGCGATGTGCCCTGGGCAGGCAGAGATGATAGGATCTATCGCTGGCCATCCCCACTACCGAACGCTAAGCTAAGGCGGGACTCTGTAGAAGGCGTCCTTCTAACGACAACTGAGGTTGCCCTCTGGTCTCTGCAGCCAAGTGCACACACGTGTACATGTGCCATTGATAAGTGATGTTAGCAAGGTAAGAGACACTCAGCGTGGTTCTGGACAGCAGGAAGCACTTAACCGTGATTTACCCCCGGACATGCCAAGATGGATGAAGTGAAATCAGTCTGCTAGAGGAGAGAGGACCCACTGAAAGCAACCCTGGCTTGGCCCCTAGAAACCCCCGTGGGAGGGACCTCTCCATCAGCCACCTCTTCCCAGGAGGGAAACACTGTGTGCTTCCTTTCCCCCCACAGACTTAAGCTGGAGGACGGGAAGTGACACAGAAGGGTACCACAGGGCTCCCAGGCTTGCACAGCCTCATCAGTGTGTCCATAACAAACACACACACTGCTGCTCCTACCGGATCCAGCAATGCTGTCCTCACATCCTCTCCGTAGCGGTTCCGCAGGCACGGCCCACAGAACTGTCCCCGCACACCACCACAGCCCTGGTTCCGGCACACTGTCTTGGTATCAATGGTCTTCTGCCGGCACTGGTGGCAGGTGTTACCCTACGGGGAAGGCGAAAGAGGCGATCTGTGGCTTATGGTGACACTCATCAGATGTTTATATATGCATTTCAGAGTGCAGGAACGTGGCCTCATGCCCACAATCTAGCAGGATTATCACTAGGGACAAAGGATGGTGACCTCCACTGTGAGCTCTTCAGTTCTGGGACAGATGAGGCTAAGCAGGGGACACGGAAGGGATAGAACCATCAGGAACAGAAGAGAGACCGTTGGGGGGGGGGTCTTGAGGAAGAGATAGATAGCAAAGCGCCCATGTAGCATGAATTCTGTCTCTAATCTATTGCTGGAGACCTAGAAATGAATGTGTAAAAACTTGTTCCAAAAGGTTGGCAATTCAACTGACATTCTATTATTTTAAAACAGTGTTGAACAAGCAAAAATGATGCAGGTCATCATTTGGAGAAAGTAATCCAGCTCATACCAACCAGAAATTCTACTTTATCCTATAGATAACGTATACCTCCCTCGTCCCACTCCCCCAGATGGTGAGTATTTTACATATAAAACATATGCATGCTTTTCTAACCCAGTACCTACCGTCCAGGACACACACCCCAGGGAGCCCTCTCCCTCAAGCAGGACCACTGTGCTAGGTAGCCTGCCTTTGCCCAGTACAGTGGATCCAGGACCATAGAGCTCAGACCAAGACTTAAGGAAGATAACACCAGAGCAGAGGTCTCAGGTTGTTCATAAATGATTGTGTGGGGCTCCCAGTAGGGATCATTCATGCACGCTTTTCTAAAGGTGTCCCTTACCAGCACTTTATCGTAGACTTTATCGCGAACAGTTATGGCAACATTTTCCAAGTCGTCTTCAGTGATGTCTTTCACTGAGCGGCAAGATGATACTCGGTGACGTCGTCTGTACTTCTGGCATTTCCCCTTGCAAAGGAAAAACAGGAAACCATGGTACATGCATCAAGACACTGAAAATTAGACCAAAAATCTTAAACATGCTTAGAGATGGAAGGTTGGCCACGTCTGCTTTGTCTGTGTGGTCACTCAGGGGGCTTCAGCCCAAACCCAACCTCCCCTGGAGGGCACTAAAGCATGCTGAGGTGCTCTAAACTTTGGGGAGACAGGGAAGTGAACAGCCAAGCCCACATGGGAGGGGCTCCTAAGTTTCCCCTCTTCCCCAACAGAACTCCTGCATCTTCCATGGTGCAAAACCAAAGCTGGCAATCAAAGCCAGCCAGCCAGGAGCTCTACCCGCAGCCATTCATCTCAGCTCATTTACACAAAGGACTCTGAGGGTGATTTGCAGCTCTGCCCTGGGGGTCATCTCAACCTGTGCTCTCTCATACGATCATGGTGAAAACTCAAAGTTCTTAGCTGCTGGAACCCTTCTGACTCAAGGCTACACAGAAGCCAGCACAGCATAATGAGATGCTCGCATTTACGGGAATTAGTCAGTAAATACCCCACTAATTGTCTTCCTTCTTCTGAAACTGTAAAGCTCTTCGGTGAGCTTGGCAGCCGAGAAGGTAAAGTTTTCCAGGGCAAACTTCTCCGGGGGCCGTGCGCTCCGGGTTGGGTTCATGCGCCGTATGATCTGTCCCTCTGAGAAGGCTCGGCGTGACGTTCTCCTCTTCTGAAACCAAGGGCACAGACAGATGCATCTGGGCCCCTCTGAACAGAAGGCTACCACGTCCCACAGAGCAGGACCAGTCTGAGGAGTCAGGACTTTCACTTACAGAAGCTGAGGTCGGGGTTCGCACGGGGAAGAAATCTGGCACCGAGTTCAATTCCGCCAACAACTGAGCGAGCTAAGGTTCAAAAGAAAGGAGGATCTAAAGTCAGTCAAGAAGACATCTGGAAGCAACATCTGCTTCCTTCTGTGGCTCCCATGAGTCTCGTAACTAAGACTTCACCTCCCAAGTAAGAAGCTGACGCCGTGGGTCACCTGAGCCAATGCCACGCCCACTCCTAACATATAACACAGTGAAGACAGTCCTGTTACATTTGGGGGCCAGGAGCATAAGGTCCTGGCTGTGCCAACTGTGTGACCCTGGACATTTTACACAGCTGAAAGTCCAATGTCAGCGTGTCCAAAGAAGGGTTCAGCTAGATGAGTCTCCGAGCTCCCAAATCAATCAAAATACTTGCTGGGCCTTGAGTGGTGGCACACGCCGTAATCCCAGCACCAACCACAGACAAACACCCAACCCCAAGCAATAGACACTAATATGCACCCCACCCCCAGCACTTTAATTGGGATTTTCAGTTTTAGATTCACGTACACATTAGACCACTTAGAATAACCATGTGCTACAATTTTGTTGAGCCAAGCAAATCTGTCTGTAAAAATCAAGATTCACCCATAGTGGACTATGTTCTCTTAATATAAGGTACAGGCCTACGTATATAATGTTGTGCTTTTCTTAAAAGACATAAAAGATCTGGGCGGTGTGGTACATGCCTTTAATCCCAGCACTTGGGAGGCAGAGGCAGACAGATCTGAATTGGAGACCAACCTGGTCTACATCCTAAGTTCCAGGGCAGCCAGGGCCATTACACAGAGAAACCCTGTCTTGAAAAATAAAACAAAAATAGAAAGTCGTCAATCAAAAAGAGGGGCAATGGTGGCACACACCTTTAGTCCCAGCATTCGGGAGGCAGAGGCAGGTGCATGTCTGTGAGTTGGAGGCCAACCTAGTCTACTTCCTGAGTTCCAGGGCAGCCAGAGCTACACAGAGAAACCTTGTCTCAAAACAAAACAAGAAAAAAAGTCATCAAAGTGAAAAATATTTTAAATGGCAATTAGCAGATTTTTTTTAAAAAAAAAAAAATAGGAGAAAAAGAATGACTTTCGAGGATTAGGATGACTTACTGGCCACATATAAAAACCCCCAAACACATAGGTTGAGCTAACTGAGGCATAACCGAATTAGAACGCCTCAGGGGCTAGTAACTGGCCCCTTTCCTTCCTTCAAATGATGTCTCTGAAGGGGTGGCTTCTTCCAGGCAGCACTGCAATTCTGCCTGGGCTCAGTGACAGTCCGGCTCGTGTTCACGTCTGTCGTCTGGGGGCAGTGCAGCCGGTCAGCCTCTCTCCTCTGCGGTGCCTCTGTCGGCTTAGAACTCAAGCCCGCTCAACCTTGGAGCAGCGACAAACTGTCCCCGAATCTTCCCAAACCAGAGCTAATGGCGTAAGCAACTGCACCCCAGAGTATACTTTCCTTCCAGAGAGCAAAGCCGTAGCACAACTTTTGGGGCAGCCGGCTACAGTTCCAGTGCCCCGAGAGAGCTCACCATGGCCTTGTTCTCTTTGATATTCCTGGCCCTTTTCAGCAGAGCATCCGAAGTCTCCTGGCTCTCAGCCTTGGAGTCATCCTCGGACTCAGAGGTGCTGTCTTCCCGTTCCGTGGCCTGTCTGCAGCTTCTCTCTCTCCCAAGATCACTCTTGCTGTCCGCTAAGTGTGAGCTACTTTTACCCGGCGTTTTTGCCAGTTTTTTGGCGGGGAATTGAAAGGCTACTCGAAGACCAAAACTGCTTCTCGTGCCTCTTCTGGGTACGGCCTCCTCTTCGTCATCGGCTTCCCCTTCCTCCTCACTCGCCACAGACGCTTTGCCACTGTCACTCAGCTCTGACTCCAGGAGCTACGGGACAAAGGGAATACGGTCTATATCCACCTACCAAAACTAAACCAAACGACTGTGTTTAAAACTACTCTAGGTAGGAATGCAGGTCAGTGGCATAGAAACGATCGACACCAGTTTGGGCCCTGGGTTCAGTCCCCAGCTCTAAAAATACGTAAACAAAATGACTCATATTGCGGCAAAAGAAGTGTTCCCTTCCTACCGATACCCTCTGAACTCTCTGGCTAAACGCACATGAAGTTTGGTGATGAATAACATCAAAGCACAGGCAACCCTACGTGGGAACCAGGCTAGAAGCAGAACTCCTGCACAGCCAAGGGGTAAGCTGGTACAGCCAAAGTGTGCTACGGAAGTGTTATCAACAGAGAAAATCAGAGGCTGTGGGGGGGGGGCAGGCCTGTCTGCTCTCAACAGCAAGGAAGGGGCGTGTGAGTGAAGGTTGGGAAGAGCCCACTCCCCTGTCCACTGTAGACTCAGGATAGGCACAAATGAGGGGGGAAAAAAACAACTAAGTCAATCCTGGTACAGCCTGAAGACCAGACAACAGTCTGGGACAGGGCACATCCTCCTCAGGGCACAAGGGGTCTTCCCTTCTGGGTACCACGCCACTGTGAGCTGAAGTGAAGGCAGGCGTGGCAGACAGTGCCCCTGTCAGCTCAACGTCTCCGGGTAGTCAAGCCTACAACCTGGGCTGTGCTTACATGTGACAGTTTGTACAGAAGGCAGTAACATGCTACTGTCACTCGGTAACGGTGGGTGGCCTCTGAGATCTGATGACTCTGAGAAGTGACAGAGGCAGGTTTAATTAAACGTTCAACCCACAAAGTTCCCTTTAACCCTTCTCCGAACGGCTCCTCCTGATGATCCCAACCAACCAGAGTTGGACTCAGGTCGGTACCACGGCTGGGCTTGCCTAGTATCTGGGCTGCAACGGCCCCGGGCTGGAGAGTGGGAATCCTCCTCTCCCCTTTACTTTTTGGTGCTCCAGCCTCGGTGAGCAGTTTGGCCCCACCGCATGCTCCTGCCTCACCCACCAGACACAAAGCCACAGAGCCAACTGAGGATACCACCTTGCTTGAAACCTTCAAACGGTGACACACACACACACACACACACACACACACACACACACACACACACACACACACACAGTTAAACCTTTTCTCTCTGTACAGTAATTCTCCGATGTTTCCTTCTAGTCACAGAATGCCAAGACAGCTTTTTCAACGAACTCTCGAATCATGTTTGTGAGTGGACCTACACCGAGTTATATCAGCTCTGATGTACATAGGGTGTGACTTAAGTATACAGGCTCTAGGAAGGGGGCTTTGGGAGCGAAATTACTTTCCCTCCTTAGAAACAAAGTCTGTGACTGAGTATCACCGAGTTTAAAGAAGTCACTTAGGATCTCCCAAAATCTGATGGGTTTCCTGTCTAAGTGTCTTGCTGGTGAAAGTCTAAAGCATCTGGGGAACACTCGTGAGCAGAGTGAGGAGTGTCAGCCAGCATATTTACAGTGCCGTGAGGAGGCCAATGCCCAGGACTTCTGTGCCATTAGTGATGCCTGAGGGCAGGAGAGGGACAGACAAGGCCACCATTGCCGCTCATCATCTTTCTACAGGTTCTGTGTAGGAGCTGATGGCACCGTCGAATAGGCATAAGCTAACCTCACCTTACCAGCAAAGAAGAAAGTGGTATGTTCATTGTAGATAAATAAATAGTCTTATTATTCAGTTAGCACTGAACACTTAGATAAAATTTTCAGTTTAAGAAATTGAAAAGAAAGGCTTCCTGTTCTGGGATTTTTGCGACTAGAACCTAGGACACAAAGGACACATTAATGAAAAACAAGGGTTAACGCCTCACGAAAAGTTTGACAAACACATCTGGGGCTCTTCACCCCGCCTTGTTAACTTTATGAACATAAAACTATTCCAATAAAACATTTAAAACGGCCTGACATGGAATCCCAGTGCCTGAGATGCTGAAGGAGAAGAAATATGTGTTTAGGGCCAATGTAGGCTGTGGTTGCCACAAACCACCAATATCACCACCACCATCAACACCGCCACCAACGACGCAGTGATTTAAAGTAACCTACGACAGAAATGCTAGTGTGTGAAAAATAGCCGGCCTCAATAAATAAAGGAAAAGGTCCACAAGGAAGCCTTTTAGCAGTAACGCAGGACCAAGGGGAGATTCCCCAGGACCCCGATAGGCCTGTATCATCCTTACAGTTAGCAGAATCCAAACCAGGAGGCACAGGCCTCTCCCACTTTGCTTCTAGCCGGAGACTATGGCCTCACACCCGACAAGAGATAGATTGAAGGAACATGTTACCCCAAGGCAGAATTCATAGATAAAAAAAAGCTGAAGATGAACCTGAGGTAAACTGAGTAAGACTATGAAGGTCACCTCTATGAAGGTCACCTGGGACATGCCCCTGACCACCAAGGGGTAGAGGGGGGAGTAGAGGAGGAGTTTACCTGTGGACCTAGCAAGACCAGCTCTAGAGTAGTGATCTTTATGTTATTTGGCTTCTACCAATAAGTAAATAAACGATAGATATATGGTAGGTAGGTAGGTAGATATATTAGACAATGCCATCGTTTTATTAGTAAGGTAGCATGTCAGGGTAAACGGAGAATTCAATACAAGACTAGAAACATTACAGCCCATGCCCCTCTGTGTTGGCCACCACTGTTACCTCTGGGTCACTGTTTATGTTCACCTCGCTCTCTGTAAATCCTTCAAAATCTCCAGCTTCTGAATCTGTGTCCTCTATGAAAATCCTTCTTAGCTCTTCAGTAAGGTATTTGGAACGGAAACACACATCCTGTTAAATTAAAAACACACATGAAAACCAGACATGGCGGTAGAGACCCAGAATCCCTTTAACTCTGGGGAGGAGGAGATCTCCCTGGGCACTAGGAGTAAAGGCTGAGGCAGGATTCCCACACCCTGAACCACAGAGTGAGACCTTGTCTCAAAAATCAGCTACCACTGCCACAACACATTCATGAAGAGAAAGATGAGAAGAAACAGTGGTTATAGGGTGGGAACTTACCGTCTACTGGGCAACACTTTCTATTGGATGGGAATGTTCCGGAGACTGCCAGTGGGGGCAGCTGCACCACAATGCATGATATGGTTAACGCTACTTAAAATGATACAGTGACAAGTTCTACACGGTGTGTGTATTTTACTACAACCACCATAAACACACACAGCACACCTTACAGAAATAAAGACTTATTTATACACAAGAGATTTTAATCGATACGGTGTCTCGGTCACTCCTGCCCTGATGGGGGAGTGTTGACAGAGTTCAGAGACTCTAGCCCCAGCCACCAAAACCCAGGCTTTGGCTTTCACACAAACTGTGGAAAGAGCTGCTAGCTTCACTCTCCGAAGCCATCTGGAGCAGTCTTCCATGGGTAAATGCATATCCCCTTCGAATGCAGCGGTGAGTTTCTCCACAGGATACACCCCTCACCCATCGCTACAGATCGCTCCATTTCCTGTGACAGGAGCAGGGGGAAACAGAGAAATCTGTACCTCTCTCACCCTGGACTCCCCTGTTGCAAAACTGAGAGGTGAGCAAAGACATTTTCTAATGATGACTTTTATTGTCTTTGGACATACTACAAAGAAGGAAGGAAGCCTCAATCTCCTAAGAGTGTCTGAAAGAGAGGAATGGCAGACTGGAAGAGAGACCCCCCCCCCAATGCAGCTTCCAGCAAGGTCACAACACTGCACCAGAACTCTGGTCCCTGTCCCCACTCCCAATCAAGCATCAAGCAGTGACCCCTCATAACACCATACTTGGTTGCCACCATATCATTGCTGCCTTTCTCTGGCTTTAATTATACACTTCTTCAGACTCCGATATATCTTTGGGGAGGGGGAAAAAAAAAGAAACATAAAATAGAAATATATAATAGTGGGAAAACTTGCAAGGTAGTGGAGAAAGAAATGCCTACAGCTAGCAGCAAGATTAAGAATGTCCCCTATGAATTATAGGTAATTGGAATGGGTTTGCTCAGAGCTAAATTACTTCCTTCTTTTGTTGCTAGCTGTGGTGCAGCTGCAAAAAAGAAAAAGAAAGAAAAAAAAAAAAAAGAGAAAAGGGAGTTTCAAGAGAAACTCAAATTGTATTTAAGGGAGGGAGCCAGCCCAGAGTCAGCTACACACAGTGTGCAAGTTGATGCCCTTTCCCCGAGCTGGACAAACTGAATCACAAGTGTGTGTGTGTGTGTGTGCATGGGGGGGGTCAGGTGAGCATTAGACCAGGGCTGAGAAATTAATAAAAGAACAAGTGTGGGGCTGGAGAGATGGCTCAGTGGTTGAGAACGCTTAATGTTTTTTGCAGAGGATACAGGTCCGGTTCTCAGTGCCCACATGCCAGCTTCAAACCTCCCCAACTCCAGTTTTAAGGGCTCACACGCCTATTGCTGCAAGTGGTGCATGCACACACGTTCAAGCGAACACTCTTACACATAAGATAAAAATAGAAAGACGCAAGTACAACACAGCCACCTGCTAAGGAAACCCACCAAGCACCGGAGTGCACGGAGTGCAGGAAACATCTGGCTAGCCCCTGGGGGGTCGCCTCAATGCATACATTCAATAAATATCCAAGGCTCCTATACAGAGTCTGAGAGAGAAGATGAGTCAAGCTCAGAGCAACAAGTTCCAACCTGCCTGGCAGTTTCTATCCCAGAGAAGGTGAGCAGTCCTGGTAGGGTTAAAACGGCTTTGCTACAAGCTTACTCTCCTCTCACATGGCCGTACAAAGCTAATCTCCACCGCACAGCCTCGCCATGCGCTTGGGTAAAGGCTCCCACAGCTCTCTGCTTTCTGAAAAGCTGTTCACTACGCTGCCAAGGCAAGACCAAGGAACACAAGTGTCTACTACGATTAACACTGTAAGCAAGAGAAAACGGCAGAAGCAATTGCGTCAGTTACTCTGATGCTCGCGTGACATGAAAAAGCACCGGACAGCAATGACCTGCGTACCAGTGAGGCGGACATGTTCCAACTAGAGCTGATGATAAACCCCCATGGGTGCCTCCTGTGCGTGGTGACCCAGAGTGCTGCCCGTCTGAAACCAGGCAGCCTAACAAAAGTCAGAGCCAGGGAAGCTAAAGAGCATCGTGTAAGTATGATGCCCCCCTTCAAGGAACTTGCAAGCTGAGGAGTCAGATAGGCCTACAAGGACTTAGAAGGCAGAGAAATACACTCTATCACAGAGGGGAAAGGAATCCCTCCAGTGTGTGTGTGGGGGGGGGGGCAACAGCTGACAGGAGATTGGCTGTGTGGAGGGATTGGCCAGCATCTGTGCTGTGCAGAATAGGTGAGAGGAAGAAGTACCAGGGAGGAGGAGATTGACAAGCGGTAGCCTGGATCGGAACAGCCAGCCTCACTCAGCACTGTTTTCAATGTGGGACCTTGGCTAAGTCGTTGGTGTCCCTGAGCTTCAGTTCCGTCTGGACTCCACCCGCCCTGGAGTCTGGAGTAACTTCAGTATCTGTATAAAATGTGACTGGCGGATGGGACTATGGACATAGTTGTCATAGCAGCAGAAGCAGCAGATGTCCCCAGTGCCCACACGCCTTGTACTTCTCACAGTCCCTTGACACGATGGCTTAGGCACCACCCTCCCTCTCTAACCATGCACAGCAAAACTGGGGGCTTCTGAATAATGACAGAGCCTAACCTAAGCTCAGCCCTTCTGCTACTCTCAACGGGGTTAGCTGACTCCTCCCCAGGCGGGTTAAATTTACAGCCTGTTAGTGGAGGTCAGGGTGCAGGAACAATGAAGAACTCGAGACTATGTCACGGAGGCTGAATAATCTGATTGGCCACTGTGGTGCCAGGCTTCGTATAAAGCTCCAGGGATCTAACTCTCAGAACTGTAACTCCTGTCACTTCCTCAGAAGTAATTAAATAACATTCTCCCCAGAAGGGGGGTGACAGAACCTTGTGCAGGACCCATACAGGACACCTGTCTCTCAGTCACACACTGCTGTGAGCTGTGTGGGAGCGTGGAGCAAGCGTAGCCCGCCCTTGCCAGTGTGTAAGAGGAGGGAAATAGAGCCCACAGGTGACAGCCAGGGGAAGAAAGAAAGTAGATTTAATCACGTGACGTCCCTTCACTGACAAAGCTGTCCGTGGCCAGGATTACGGCAACAAGCACGCACAGAATCCTCTCACCTGCTTCTGGAGACAGGAAGATAAAATCTGAAACATAGTACCCAACGATGCACCATTTCATAAACTTACGACTGCATTGTGAGATGAGAGAGTAGCCTGCACCCTGCTGCAGGCTCCCAGAGGGCCATGCCTGCCTGGAGAAGAAGGACTCCTCCTACCTGTTTCTCCAACTCCAGTGAGTCCAAACTCTCGAAGCTCTCTGACAGGGTTTCCATGGGAACATCATCCCGGAAACCCACAAATTCTTCGTCGTCACTGGGAGCATTGAAGATGTCAGCTACTTCTTTGGGGATCTGTTTTGGATGCAGAAGAGAGGGTGAAACCAGGATCACTCAGGATGGAATGAACACATCGCATCCTTTACCACAGCTGCTCCCAAGATCCCTGGAACCCTGAGCAAAGGGCTTCAGCTGAGACTCTCATGGTGGATAAAAAGTGGGAGACATAACCAAATCTGTTCCAGTTCTAAATGTATACATACCTTCCCTTCTGGGTAACATACAGTCATTCTTAGACAGAAGCTACTTAGCATCTGAGAGGTCAATGAGCTCCTCCTCAAGGTAACTCATCCATAAGTGGTTCTTGTAAGGAAATACCAGGCAGTAAGCTCTTGGCTTACTTCTTCATTTTTGGTTAGCCTGTGTTGGTTCAGAGATGCATGCCCAAACAGTGGCTTTCCCTTTTCTACACTTGAAGTCAGTGGATTAACTTGGAGAGAACTTACAGGCCTTTAGAACGGTCACCCCCCCTCCCCAGAGACCCATGTCTACTCAATCTAACAAATATGGGTCTGCTGGGATACATGTATGCTGACTACCTGTTTTCTCCCACCTACTTATTAAAAACAAAACAAGAAAAAGCAGCACCTACAGACTCATCATCTGTATGATGACACCATTTGTCTGCACATTTGTTCTTTATCAGGTTACATTTTTCTGGAGTTTGTCTCCATCCACAGAAAGTCCTCTGGGATAGCTAACTTATTTAATCTGTGTGTACACACAGTGCTTAGAGAGGAGTCAGGGAAAGTGATACGACTAGACATAATCAAAAATAAAAGAACTAAGCCAAAGTCAGAAAGATAATTACATATATATATATACATACATACATATATAGTGATCCCTAGATTATTTTACGAATTAAAGTCATATACACGCATATATGGCATGAAAAAAAGATGTCAACTGTCACACACAGCTAATGGGAGCAAAGGCCGGAGAGATATTTTCCTAGACACCTTTTGGTGGCTCAGCTACCAGAACTCACAACTCCAGAGTAACACAGGCAGTACTTACACAAGTCCACGTCAGCCATCACCCGAGAAAGGCGCGGTGCAATTTCAGCCTCTACCCCTTTTGACCTCTCACCAAAGTCTGTTTCAACACATGGTTACCAGAGGAACACCATCTGTGGATTTCAAAGTCAGTGCAGGGAGCAGAGAAAATTCAAGGCAGGGATGAACTACTGGCGACGAACGTGGGGACCATGCCTGGGCAGACGTGTCTGTGTCTGCCTAATCTCCGCCTGAATCCACAGGTTTTCAACCTGCTCTGGCTTCATTACAGATTGGAAATAAAAGACGAGCATTCCAACAACGCACCACACAATCTAGGCGTGTGCAGGGCTTGCCCTTACTGCCAAATTCTAAACGGTATTGAAAGGCTTTCCAAAAGCTTGCTGTTCCTTTGGCAAAGGATGGACATACTACTTGATCCTCTGGGTTTACAGGCCCTAGAGTTTAACATGAATCTGCAACAAAGAGGTCAGGTAGGCCTAGGATCTAGTTCTGAGAGCCCAGGCGAGGGTGGACTCTATGAACACCCGGTGCCGGGCTCCAATAAACCCCTGTTGAGAGCGTATTCTGCTCTCATCATCTTTTCCTAGGACAGCTAAGTTCATCTCATTTTTCCACGGCATTTTTTTTTTTTTTTAAATTACTGAACAATTTTTTTTCTGTTATTTTCTTTCTTTGGTCTTCACATCTCTTTTTTTCTGTTGTATTTTCAGTAGAACTCACATGTGTGCCTGTGTGCATGGATACATGTGAAAGCTAGATTGGCTGCTTTTCTCAACCTCCTTATATTTTTAAGAAAAGGTCTCTTACTTAACCTGAAATCCACTGACCCAGCTGACCTAATGGGCCAATGAGCTTAGGAATCTCTTATCTCCACCTTGAAGCACTGGGATTACAGGTACTAGCCACCACAGCACCCAGTTTTCACAACGACACTGGGGATCTAAGCCCAGGTCCTTGTTTCTTGTACAGCAAACACTCCCACAACACAATCTGAAGGTCAAATGACTTGTGTATTAAATGGAAGGAAGCTGAAAACGATCTAGCGTAACTATTACTTTATCTGATAAGTAATAGTTATCAGACTTCAAACCACAATCAGAGAAGATAAAGGAAGCCACTACACATTAACAATGGCCACACAATTCAAGATGTAACAGTGGTAAATACGTATATGGACTACACATTTAAGCTCTTAATTTCACAAAACAAGCATGGATGCACATAAAAGGTCAGAGAGGCTCTAATAAAATAAACAGGATGACTTTCATACCCACCCCTCTCATCTTTAAACAAATTATCCAAACAAAGGTGCAGCTGAACTGCACCAGAGACCAAATAGTTTTACACATCTATGGAATATCCCACCCCACAGACACAGAATACATTCACTGTCTCAGCAGCTTACACAGAGGACAATCTAGGTCACAAAGCCAATCTCAACAAACACAAATCAAAAATATGTCTTGTGCAGACTAAAGTAATGACACACAGACTCACTAGTTTGTGTTGTAGAATATTATTTTAAGGTGTGTCACATCTGTTCATGCTGTGGAACTTTTGTTTGGTGATGCAAAGGTGTGTGGCATTCCTTTACATTGCATTTGTTTAACTCTGTGAAGCTGTGTTACTTTGCTTGTCTAAAGCACCCGATTGGTCTAATAAAGAGCTGGGCAGAAAGGATGGGTGGGGCTGGCAGGCAGAGAGAATAAATAGTAGAAATACAGGAGGAAAAAGACCAAAGAAGCAGTTAGCCACCCAGCTACATGGTCAGACATGGAGTAAGAAGGAAAGAAAAGATATACAGAAATAGAGAAAGGCAAAAGCCCAGAGGCAAAAGGTAGACAGGATAATTTAAGAAAAGCTGGCAAGAAGGCAAGCTAAGACCAGACATTTATAAGAGAATAAGCCTCCGCGTGTATTTATTTGGGAGCTAGGTGGCAGGCCCTACAAAGAGAAAAAACAAAAAAAAACAACAACAACAACAAAAAACAACTAAAAGTGGGCTCTTAGGCGGGGGGGGGGGGTAGCATTTTAAATAGGATTGGTGAACTCTGTGCTAATATAACAAAGATACAAATTAGTAAGCTCAAAGACAAAAAAAAAGGAGAATTTACAATAGATTGCAATGAAATTCACTAGAAAATATCTTTAAGAGGTATAACCTGAAGAACTAGACAATGTAGAAGAACTTTAATAGATAAACTCCCAGCCGCATATGACCAGCCGTTAAGAGGATAAAAACCATTTAAACAGCAGGTAATGAAAGTACAGCAGTAAGAGCCAAAGAGAAACCCTGGATCTGACTGACTTGTTAGAGATGACTCACCACCAATGCTCACCTTTTCCACAACAGACAGAGAAGAACAGACTCACTCTATGAAGCCGACAGCACCTTGATACAAAACCAAATAAGGACACAACAATGAATAGACCAACATCCTTAATGAACATAAGCCACAATTCTCAATAAAATTTGGGCAAACCAAATTCAAGACTAAAGGACCACCAGCAAGATGGGAGCTCATAGGACACAGGTGAGCTTACTAGTCTTGCTAAATAGACATGGTATCAAACTACCTTCAGAATACATATCTCTGTAACTGTAGATCAGTGCAGCTGTCAGTCCTCATCAAAGCTTCTCTGTGCAGTGGATGATAGTCAACAAAGAAACTCACAACTGGTCAACCTGGAGACTATAAGTGTCTAAGGCAGCAGTTCTCAACCTGTGAGATATCCTGCACGTATTTACATTACGATTCATAATAGTAGCAAAATTTCAGTTATGAAGTAGCATCAAAGGGTCACAGCATTAGGAAAGTTGAGAATCACTGGTCTAAGGGGTGCTGGGCCATAAATGGGGCATCTCTATCTGTATTAGTTCCTTTTTCTGTTGCTGTGATAAAATATGACAGAATGCAACTTAAGGAAGAAAAGCATTCATTTGGGCTTATGGTCTCAGAGAAGAGTCCAAAATGGCAGAGGAGGCATGGCATCAGGTAACCAGAGCAGGAAGCTAAGAGGTCACATCTCCAACTACAAACATGAAGCACACGCACACACAGAGAACAGGAAGAGGGGCAAGGCTATAAACTCTCAAAGCCCATCCCAGTGACATGCTTCCTCCAGAAGGGCTGTACTTCCTAAAGAGTTCACATCTTCCCAGACAGTGTAATCAACTGGGAACCCAGTGTTCAAATATGTGAGCCTATCGGGGACAATTCTCCTTCAAACCACCACACCTCCTTGCACCAAGATTCAGGGGACAGTGCGGAAGAGGGGTCAGAAAGACATTTAAGAGCCAGTGGTTGGGTAAACAGAGTCTTCTAGTGTCCCTGTACTCATGAACGCACAACGTAGACTCAAGCTACTCAGCACGCCCATGTGGATGGGGGGGGGTCATGTCAGTAACTCCCAACTCTCTCCCAGGTATTAACAAATGACTGCTTCTAGGGAAGGCAGAGTCAGTTTTCATTAGGTGTATGGCCCCTGTAGGTTGACCTGTCCCAATGGATGGCCCCACATCCATAATTAAGGGAGCAGTATAAATTGGACTTGGTCAGTAATTTAAACAACAAAGGCCATGACTGACGTTGAAGGGAGTGAGAAATCTATCTGGAAGGAGAGAGTAAATATGATCAAAATACATTATATGCATGTATAAAAAATCAGTTAATAAAAACTTAAGTAAAACGGAGAGGAGAAAATGAAACCACATACCCATAACCAAACTACTTCATTCCGGGAATGTAAGGATATGCAAACCATGAAATGTCACACAGCACATAAATGCACTTCAAGGATAAAAATTACAGATTATCTCAACAGTGAGTCAACAAAATTCAACATCCCTTCATGACAAAAGACAGAAGACCTGGGGATAGATGGGAAGGACATGCATCAGCATAATAAAGATACAGCAGACCTACAACCATTACGATACTACACAAGGGAACACTGCGAAGTATTTCCTGCAAGGTTAGGAATGATTTAAGG